TCTGCAACACACGCAGAACCATGAAGTGAAACGAGTGCGTCGACGCAACGACGCAAACGAAAACGCAGAAGCATGCGCCGGCCTTAAGGGGCTTCCCACCCGCAGTGGAAAACCAAATAGACAAAAGCAACTTGAGACAGTAATCTAGCAGGAATGTGTGACTCGTTGTCTCACCCGTCGATGATGAGGTGCTCATAGGGCGCCTTCTTGTCACAGACAGGACACACCCAGGTCGGCTTCTTCTCATTCATTTGGATGTAAAGTGTAGCATCGAAGCACTGAAGGTGAGAACATGTCAACGCTCTGCAGGGGATCGTCAGCCTCATCTTTCCCAGCTTGAACAAAAACAAAACAAACAAACAAACAAAATAAATAAAGGTAAACGGAACAGTGTTCCATCTAAGAATACAGTATATGGTGAAAAGCAGAGCAAATGTTGTCCTTCTGTCAGTGAAATGAAATACAGCTGTTAAACACTTAATAACGAATCCACAATTAAAATCAGGAATACATTTTATACACAGTACCAGTCAAAGGTTTGGACACACTTTGATTCAAGTGAGTGAGAATGTGTGTCCAAACCTTTGACAGGTACTGTAGATGTATTGAATATATACTAATTCAATTCATTTCATTTTGTACAGCCCAAAATCGCAAATTACAAATGAGCCTCAGAGGGCTTCACAGTCTGTGCACATGCAACATCCTCTGTCCCGAAACCCTCACATCGGCACAGGAAAAACCCAGCACAGCTTCTTCTCGTAGGTTACTCTGTAAACTTTTAAAAATGACTATGAGAACGATATGTGCAGTGTCCCCCACCCCACCAGAAAAGTGTGAAAAAAAACCCGACACGTACACAAATATGTCTGTTTGCGGACAGAGTACAACCCCCCACCCCGGCTGAAACAAACGTTCACCCGACTACTATTCCCGTCGGCTGAAGTTGTAAACCTATGGGAAACACGGAACGACGATGAATATGCAGAGAAGTATTTACAGGACACAGGAGGGAGACTCGTAGGCTGGTGGTGGCGATCTCACTCTCTGGATCAGCTGTTAATTTCTCTTTGACTGTGAGAAGAAAAAGAAACACACAACAAAGTGATTATGACTTTGTTTAATCCAAACATTAATTTGTGCTTCAGGATCTCAAACTACACCCCAAATAATCCTCTAACTACATAGCGTGCACCAAGTTAAAGAGGAACATTGCATTTTCCAGGTAATGCACAAGAAAATTGACTATTTTCGAGAACTGAATACTTTTACAGAACCTACATTTAATCCTGGAGACTACGCGGTCCAACACAAATGAACAGGATTCACTACATGAACAAAGTTATATAATGTTATTCTACTAAAGATGTAGAGGCAACACCTGTTCTATGTTCTCACTGCAAATTCCTGAGGAAACTTACTCAAAGCTCTGGAGTGGTCAGGGTTCCTAATTCCTTTGGCCCGTAGTTTTTGCAACAACACGGCAGACGACTGCTGTCTTACCAGGTAGACAGCCACAGAAAAACTCTGGCAAAACAAAGACAAAAGGAGGGAAACAAGTTAAACCGGAGAGTGTCCTCCTTAATGGAAGATGACTCTTAACACTTTGCTTTTGTTTTCTTACCCTCCCAATTTCTGAAGTCCATGACACAACAATTGGGGTTGGGGACAGTGGTGAAGAGTCGGACAAGAGAAGTTATGTTTATGGGGCGACTGGGCCTTTTCGGTTCAACTCCATTTTTGGTTGGAGGAAGATATCCCTGAAGACAAAACATCAGACATCAGTGACCTTGATTCTCACTAACGGTTGGTGTGTTACACAGAACATTTGACATGGAAGTCTGACAAGAATTTGTCTGGACTTACCGGGAGATTACAGGGTTTGCCGTTCACCTTCACGCAGAGATTAGGGGGGAAATGATCGTCCTGAGAAAAACTCGTCTCCGATAAACAAAATCTGAAGAAATACAAAAGCATTAAAGAAGAA